TATTATCTTACATATTTCAGATGGGGCGGTAGGGTAGCCTAATGGTTGAAGCGTTCTCACTCACAAAAACTGATTAGAAAAAGCAAGACATATTTGGAAAAGATTTCCATTCAGATGTGTCAGTATAAATCTTGGTGCTACCAAGCGAACACCTGGTGTCATCAGTGATAGCTTAGCATATCCTATCTCGTTTATAGTGTGTGACAGAGTCGCGTTTTGCGCCGCTTTAAACAACATCCAAGTTATGTCACAGTGTGTCAGCATATTGTGGGAGGACAGTCCGGAGTTATGCAGGTAGCTCTTAGACGTTTACCACTTTGGTGAAACCAACTTGCACGGGTATGGTGCTGACAAACCTAGAAACAAAATCGGGAGCGAAGAGGGATTCGAACCCACAATCATTGGTTTATGGCTAGCCCAAGGGACGCAACTCTGCAAAGGGAACTGCGGCGCCTTAGGTGACTTGGCCACCCGTGCCCATATATATCCATAATAATTTGACATTGCACAGAGGAAAATATTTGTAATCAATATTGTCCAGTGTTTCATCATCATCATCATCATCATCATCATCATAGTCGTCATCATCACCATCATCATCATCATCAGCAGCAGCAGCAGCAGCAGCAGGAACATGCGTGTACAACATATCCACTGTGGGCCTTATTACGCCTTCTCATAGTCACACCGTACTATTTACATGAACCGCTCGCAGTGAGGAAGCAATGAATGTGATGAAATGTTCATTTTATGCTGAACGTTTCCTAATTTCCTTATTTGGTGTTTTCATTAAGTGTGTCAGATCTCCTGAAAAAGCACTCAATGGTAAAGCTGGCCGTTAATAAATACAATTATTCTGTGACCAAAATAAGGTGTTTTTCAAGCAAGAGCTTTGCTATTCAAATGTACAACGCCGGGTGTAGCTGATACGGTTCAATGTGTTGTGCGAGTCGATGAAAGAAGCTTGTTTTACGGCTTCAGTACAGCGACCCGAACAACAAACCAGACACTGTCTAGTTTCAAGAGTAGCAATCAAGTTGAGACGATGCCCCAAGTCACACATTTTAAACACCCTTTTAACAAGCGAGGGGATACACTCTCTAAACTAAACTGATTTGTGTCATTTGTTCCAGTTATCTGTGCGGGGTGGTGGGGTAGCGAAGTGGTTAAAGCGTTCGTTCTTCACGTCGAGGATGTAAGGTGGGGTAAAAAGGGGTTTAACGTCGCGTTCAAGATGTTGCTAGTTTTCATAGACTCATACAGACGAAGTTGGGACGATTGGTTGTAAAGTGGTCAAAGAACTCGCTTACACGTGAGCGTTCCCTTCCCCCCAAAAAGGCCCATACTTGGTTCCCCCCGCCGTGATATAGATGGAATATTGCTAAGAGTGTCGTACACTCACTCACTCACCCACTCAGGAAAAAAACCCATGTAAACATCAATTAACTTTCAACGAAGATTTATTGCGAACAAAAATAAAAATTACGTCATTAGCATTTAAAACGATGCTTTAATTAAGAAACTACATATATGTTGTTAAATACACAAATTAACTTTAAGTGTAAGATCGGACCGATCACTACAGAGAAATAAAGTCACCAAATTTACTTAAATTAATAAAACAGTCAGGGAATTGATGACTTGTGCACAATTGATGAAAATATATTCAAAACATCATATATAAAAAAAAACCCACTAAAGCAACTAACAGAAATATAATTCATTAAACAAAATTTTCACTTTTCGTCATTCACATGAAGGATATACTATCTCATCTATGTCACCCGTGAAGATCCGGGTTAGAATAGGTCTTCAGCAACCCATGCTTGCTGTAAAAGTCAACTATGCTTGTCGTAAGAGGCGACAGACGGAAGCGGTCGTCAGACTCGCCGACTTGGTTTGACGCATGTCATCGTATCCCAATTGCGTGGATCGATGCTCATGATGTCAATGACTGGATTGTGTGGTCCAGACTCGATTTTCTACTGACCGCCGTCATACGGCTGGAATATTGCTATTGGAATACTGGCCTACCCCTGTCACCCCAATTGGTTATGGTTATGTAATGTGTGAGTGAGTTTGGTTTACCGCTGCTTTGAGGAGCATCTCAGTCTTAGCATAGCGTGTCAGAAATACCTGGGAGGAAAGCTCCAAGTAATGCATGTCTTTGACGTTTCCCACTTCAGTACAGACAAAGCAAGAAACTCAATCAGGGCGAATCTGAAATTCGAACCCGCGATCATAAACTGATGGGGGGCGGTCGGGTAGCCTAGTGGTTAAAGCGTTCGCTCGTCACGCCGAAGATCCGGGTTCGATTCCCGACATGGGTACAATGTGTGAAGCCCATTTCTGGTGTCCCTCGCCGTGATATTGCTGGAATATTGCTAAAAGCGGCGTAAAACCATACTCACTTACTCACTAAACTGATGGCCAAAAGAAACCTTCCCACTTCAAAAAATGAAGTTGCAAAAGAACCAACAACTAAAAACACAAACTAAATCAATGCAAAACACATCGTCCAAACACAACAACGCTCTTTAAAGAAAGTGATTGAGATGGGCCCGGGCAGTGCGTCGTTGGCAGCGACGTGACTAGCAGCGGGTCGTCTTCACTGATGAAAGGCAGTTCTGTCTGTTCAGAGCTGATGGAAGACAGCGTGTTTACCGTTGAGGGGGAGAACAAACGACGGCTGTTATGGTGTGGGGAGGTGTTTGTGGGCAGGACAGCACACCACTGGTAATCGGTAACGAAAACTTGACAGCTCAGCGTAACATGGAGGACAGTCTTGAGCGACTTTAGATATGTGTTTTTTGTCCAATACGTTGAAAGCTTGTTTTTGCAACTGTCATTTTCAATTTTTGATTTCTTTGAAATTTAGATCTTTTCAATACATTTTACTTCATGCATCTATCTTTTGTGGATTTGAACCCCAGAGTCATTTAAAACTGTTTAATGAACATATTTGTTTTGGGGCCTCCCCGGTTACAGGTAATTATCAGTAATATGGTCCATGAACACTCTCGAAGTGTCTTTTGATGGACCAACATCGTCGACTACGACGTCAGTGATGTATGGTATCATCGTTACTGTATTGCACAAACTGCACACAGGAAGTCGATTGCTTTGGCGGAAATAGTGTGATGGTTTGGGCAGCAATATCAAAAGTGAGTGAGTGAGTTTGATTTTACGCCGCTTTTAGCAATATTCTAGCAATATCACGGCGGGGGACACCAGAAATGGGCTTCACACATTGTACCCATGTCGGGAATCGAACCGGGGTCTTCGGCGTGACGAGCGAACGCTTTAACCACTAGGCAACCCGACCGCCCCCAATCTCAAAAGCGTCAGGACCAACGTGTATGATGTTAAGGGCAACTTCAATGCACAACGGTACCGAGATGAAATTCGGCAGCCACTTGTCACCCCCATTTTGGAAAATGCCTACACCATTTTTCCAGCACGATAATGCCAGGCCACACAAAACACGACTCACAACGGCACATGTGCCCATTGACCTTAAGGTCCTGTCCTGGCGCCCTTGAACAGTTACAGCACCCGACACAGCTAACACAGGCACTACCAGCTGAGTTGGCCACCATAACCCATGGTCTGATTCGTACCCTCCTTGCTTCCATGGGCAGATGTCAGGCAGTTCTTCTGGCCTACATCAGCGACTTGTGGTCACATGTGTCTTATGTGAACAGTCAACTGCTTTCCGTTGATCTATTTATTGAGTCTATCAAATTTGACCAAGACATGTATGGTACAAATGTGCAAAGTATGTTCGTGAGTGAGAACCTCGTGTCCTTTGATATCAAATATATCATCACTCGTTGATAAAAGTTGAAAAAAATCCTCGGCAAGCCTCGGAGTTTTCCCACTTTCATCAACTCGTGTTGATATATTTGATATCAAAAGACACTCGGCTGAGATTCTCTATATAATACAATGACACGTAAATATATTTGATTCAATCAGTAAACAGTGAGTGAGTGAGTGAGTTTGGTTTTACGCCGCTTTTAGCAATATTCCAGCAATATCACGGCGGGGGACACCAGAAATGGGCTTCACACATTGTACCCATGTCGGGAATCGAACCCGGGTCTTCGGCGTGACGAGCGAACGCTTTAACCACTAGGCTACCCGACCGCCCAATCAGTAAACAGATAAAGCATAGTGGTGAATTATGAGCACGACGCCAAGAAGGTAGATATGTGTAATAACGTCATTTATCATTTAACTAAAGCATTTATCCATGACATAAACTTATGACATAAAAACATGTATGTCATACCCCAATGACATAAGTATGCAAATTAGATATGCAAATTAGATAACCGGAAGTGGGACTTTTTTCGCCGGTGCACGTGAGTAGGTGTTTACAAACAACATGGATACCTTTGATGTTGGAGACATTATTTCAATTATTCTGCAAAAGTCTGTTTAAGTATTTTGTTTAAAATAATCCGAGGAACTTTTTTTCTCAGCGAAGGAATATGTCATAAAGGAGTTAAGAGGTTGTTTATTTTGGTTTACACGGCTATGGAAAACATGTATCACTACGCACGATCTATACGTAAGATTTCGACAAGTTGCTGATGTTAATGTTTAATGCAATTATTCCTCAATTGGGAAGCAAAAATGTGAAAATGATAAATAGAATTCATCACTCGTGTTTTTTAATATGGGAAATATCAACCTCGTCCCGTTAATCGGTATTTGCCTCGCCAAAGGCTCGGCAAATACCGATTAACTAAGACTCGGTTGATATTTCCCATATTAAAAAACACTCGTGATGAATCCTCTATTGATCTCATGGCGTTATGACAAGTATGCACATGGCCAAAATGTACAGAATGGAATAAGCTGCGCACAATTTGCAAACTACTGTTTACTTCTATACTCAACAGGGAAATAAAAACTGAATAACTGTAAGCACACAGCTGAAAGGAAAGTCGATATGTCAAATCCCTTGTGTCAATCGGTTTTAGGTTTCATTGTCTGATTTCGAAAGAATAAATAGCTACCGAGGAGCGTAGGCCGTGATATTATGATTATACACATAAATAACAATGAACATTGAGCAGCTGTTCGAAATATACAGTCTTGTTTTTTTATAACGTAGACTCTTTTACACAAACATTATTATTTTGTACACATGATAACAATATAATGGTCGGTCCCTACATCATTCTTACAATAGTTATAAGAACTCATGTCAACACAACCCTTACACAATGGACAGGTTTCGTTATACATAAGCTGGAGAGGAAATTTCCTGATAGATGAAGTGATGTGAACAATTTGAATACGAATAACTTCCTTGTTTTGTTTTCCTCAAACGTCAGATAGTACACTTGACAATGCTGAGCCAGAACAATGTGAAACAACAACACTTATTGTTGTTAAAATAGTAATGGTATGTTGTAAGCTGTAGACTCTTGACAATTAAGTTCAGATACTATATTTTCCTATAGATTATTATAAACGATTATTAAGAACGCCAGTTTGTGTAATATTGCTACGAATACTTGATAGGTCTGAACCCCGTGTTGAGCCTGGTTAGACTAGATCCCCTGCATCCCATTGCTGGTCGTACCAGGTGATTAAATTAGATCGGATAGTCAGTCTGTATTATATTGAATAACATAATTACATTTAACAGCTGCCGCTATAATACTTAAATCATACCTTACACGACGGTTCCTTTACTTGCGCTAAAAAGTGTATTCCACACCACTCTGAGGAGAATTAAAATTCAATCAGACAATCCTCGCTTTTGATAAGAATGTATTATTTTTCTCGTATACCTGCAAGTAACATTTAGTTAACTATAGGTACTAACAATTTCCTGCATTGAATTAAATTACAATTCACCACAAGCAGATTTTAGTACTGGATTTGGATATTAATCTGGAAACATCCCAAGGATCAATGAATACACCTCGGTTCATATTTCAAACATTACAAATCAAATATGACAGATCTCTTGTGTATTTGTGTAACAATAACAACAGTAATAATAATAACTATAATAATAATCATGATAATAATAGGTATATTTATATTGCACTATATCCCACACAGGCGCAAGCACAAAGCGCTAAACGATCATTCTCAGCTCCCTGGGGAGTGTACAACCCAAGCTGCCTGTGAGGCGCTAGAAGGTTAATAAACACACTGCCATCTCATCCTATCGGGTACCCATTCATATATGAGATGATCATATGTAAGCTCTCTACCGATGCTTGGATTTAGCATGTACTAGCATTTAACCAGAATCTTGGTTCAACTTTGACTCTCTCATCTCTATATGCACTTCACTGTGTTCCAATCCAACGTCTTTGGAATCAATTTCTACTACAATGTCGATGTATCTATAAGTAGGTGAGGAAGTGTCCTCAGTCTTCACACAGTGTTCTTTATTCGTGCTATCTTTATTCACATCTTCTTCTACACTTCCTTCCTTTTCCATGGGATTCACCTCATCAACTGATACAGTGAGGCGTTTATCTGCAACAGACCATTTCTGGGTATATTCCGCAATGGTTTTATTGAATTCTGCTAGAAACATAATGCTTTCTGTATCGACGGTCAATGAGCCAGATCCACTGATGAAGAATTTCCTGAAGACAAAGGGAATAAATCCTCCAGCGAGAGTAGCCAACATTTGGTTAGTTGTGGAGAACTGGGTACCAAAGGCAAGCACCACAGTCACTACAAAAAATAGGAATACCATGATCTTCATGAAGCTGTAGAATGCAACCCAGGTATTCTTCCACAGTTTCCCAGGGCAACCATCATGATTCATATTAATTGTCTCAAAAAAGAACCTTTCTGGTGTAAAGGAACGATCCATGCTGTTGAGGAACACAAGAAGGCCTTTTGTCTTCCATCTTAGACTACCGTCCGTCATGTCCAGTCCAATTCCTGAAGTGTTGTCAGCAGTAGCATCGGAACTGCGGACTCGGAAAACTGTGTTTTCTTGGGCATCAGGATCACCTTTAGCTATTTCTTTCATTTCATCATGTTTCAAGCTGAGCAATTGACCTCTGATGATCTTATGGTAGGTCAGATACTTCTCATAGACTGCATTAAAGGATGTTTTGGCATACAACCCGATGAGGAACAGTACAGTAACATATTGCATTGTAGCTCGCGAATTAACAATGATGCCCATCAAGGTGTACACGCCAACTTCCACGAAGAATGTCAGGCACTCCATCAACAAGAAGGTTAAGGACCAGAAGGATGTCAGACATACGATAATGATGAAGAGACAAATAAGAACTTCGGTTTTTGTCTTATCCGTCCTTCCCCCAAACTCTTCATCATCTATATCTTTCAAATTTAATGTTTGCTTCATGAAATTAAACAATTTCTTGAAAGAGTTCACAACGCTATGGGGACACACAAATATAAAGAGCCGGATGCTGAAATTAAGAGCTGGGAAGGTGTAGAAAGCAAGGAGGGGCACCACAATAGGCAGGGGGATGATCCAGTAAAGTGGAACCAGAAGAAAACCAATTATTCCAAATCTCTTGAAGGGGAGAAGTGCGAGCCCAATTGTCCATCCATAGGCGCTAAAATCAGACCTTTCACGCATACCCTGCAAAGATTTTCTTAGTATAAACTTGAACCGATTTTTCATAGATTGTTTAACGATTCCATATACAAAGAAATCCACCAAGACAATTATGTACACAGCAACAAAAAACCAATGTAGTGGGGTAAGATATTGTATAAAACTGCCGTTAAACTGCATCCGTGTTTCCAAGCGTTCTGCAGCCTGACGTTTCTGTTCTGCTATATCTGCTTCGTATGTGTAATACACTATCAGTCGAATAATCCATGGGACAGCCAGGAGACCCAGCAGGACCAGTTTAGCAAAGATTCTCATGCATCTGTACCAGGTGAAGACTTTACAACCATTTGTAAAGTCACACATTCCAGCATCACAGCAGGATTTAAGGAAAGGGATCCTTCTAATATGGCAGCGAAATACATTTTCATATAACATCTTCACAACAGAAACAGGCACATAATTATCCGACAAAAGTTTCCCTGATTCCACGGAGAGGTGAATGTCACTAAGTTCATATATTTTGTCAGTCTGAAGTTTTGTAAGGGAATCCTTAAGTGTGTTTAATCCTTCAAGCTTACCAAATTTGACTCGAGGGATTTCACTGGGATAGACATTACTCCTAGAGGTCGTCACAATCTTAATTCTCTCATTATGGCTAGGAATTGAGTACGTATAATCTGTAGCAGTGAACTTCTTTCTGTAAAGAGTTTCAGGGATGAATGAAGGACTATAAAGAACAACCAGTACCTTGATAATTAAAATGCAAGTCAGAAGAACGTTGATCCATAAATCTCGGTGTACATCTTCACAGAACATGTTACCATCTGAATCAATATGACAACAGTGGTAAACAAAGTTAGCCCTTCCACTTTCAGGAACTATTCGCATGTTGCATATGAGTTCATCCTTGTTCAGACTTCGACTCTTCTCACCTGGACCAGGTAAACTAAAATCATTAACTACCAAATACCTTGTCACATTTGCTCGTTGCTCATTTGTCAAAAGAGTCATACATCCAGAGGGTTTTTCTTCAAGTTCCACATTTAACGTCGTCACTCCTATTCCTAGCAACGACAACGATAGTACTTCAAAGTTGTCATCCAACATCAACAAACTTCGTCCTTGCCTACTGGTAGATCTTATCCATAGATTCGGACGAAATAAATCACTGCCATTCGCCGTGAACATATCACCATGAGAACCTGTTATTTTCATATTAAACGTGATCAGTTTCATGCTGCTTTTCAAAGCTTCGCTAAGCTCATCATAAATTTTGGAATCTGAAGAAATGAGTTCACAGTGTCCATCATTGAATATCCTTGTTGGTTTTGAGGGTGTAGTAACGGGCGTCGTTTCGCTTCCACCAAGGTTGCTAGTAATGTTTGATGTTACTGTCGTTGCAGCAAAAACAGTTTCGGATAATAACACAGACCAAAGGACATGCACACACAAGAACAGTGCCATGTTGCTCACTGTTGATATACACGGGTGACTCGGGGTATCAGTAGATAACACATTTAGCCCAGGCAGTACTCACCATTTCAACAATCCTACGTCACTTCTCTATTGAAAGTTTTGTTGAATGCTGACGGTTACATTTGGGTTGAATGAACACCTGTTTACATTGAGGCAGTGTTATCGTTTTGCTAACAATGAAGCATAGAACTACAGTACAGAAGCATAGAAACGATCAGGAAAACTTTGACCAAATTAAATAATACGTACAGCCTAGCTAAAGGCTCTGGTCCAATGGGTGTTCGTCATATGGGTCATGTGGCGCACAATTATATCCGGATTTGTGCTTAACACCACGTAGAACATGATTCAGTTATATCACAGTCTGTCATTTTGAGGTGGAAGGAAATCGTGAAGTGATGCAGATCTAAGAAGTTTCCACTTTGATGAGCATGGTGTGGTACTGACAAACCTAAAAACATACTGAGGGCAAATCGGGATTCGAACCCACGTTCATAGATTTCTCTCACACCTAAGAGATGCATCTCTGCACAGAGAACTGTTGTGCCTCAGGCGATTAGGGGCAACCTTAACCACGTAACTTGTAACATAAAGAGGAGTACTTTTTTTCCAGATACAAAGTAACAATATATTTTTAAAAACTAGGGAGAAGCGAAGCTGATTCCTTTGCTCTCGGAACTCGTATGGTATATCGGGACAACTCTTTCTACTACATCACAATATATATTACAAACACATTTGTTTATGTTGGTAATTAAAGGTGAACGTATCCTACCCCACAAGTGGCCCACGTCGATTGTATCTCGAAAGTTGAAATGTTGGCAAGACTATTGGAAAGTTGAAGTCATCCCTCGTGGCATACAGCCCTGTGCCATAACACATGGCGTAAATACGTCAAAATGGAGGCCCTTTTCAGCACACGTCAGAAGTACACAATTTGATTTTTCTAGTCATGCCGAAAAAAAGATATATTGAAGTAAACATTGTACCGCCCTAATGCTTCTCCTCATCAAATCATAAAAAAACCTTAAGACATAGTGAACACATGATCTATTACCCCTTCAACGTCACCCAATCATATGTTAGTCAATTCCCACTCAAACGGTATATAGCAAGTATGTGCATGGTGGAGAAAACCAGTTGCAGGAGTGAGTGAGTTGGGTTTAACGCCGATTTTAACAGTATTCCAGTTACATCACGGCGTGTCAGCTTAATGTTGGAGGAAAGCCCGAAGTGATGCAGGTCTTAGACGTTTACCACATCAGTGAAACCCACGAGCACGGGTATGGTGCTGACAAACCTAGAAACATAATCGGGGCGAACCGGGATTCGAACCGACAATCATAGGTTTCTGGTGTGCCCAAGGGACGCAACTCTGCACAGCGAATCGCGGCGCCCTAGACGACTGGGCCACCCGTGCCCCCCAGTTACAGGAGTGGTGTCAGTGGTTGCGTCAATAGTGGCTGTCAAATTCGAGCAAATGCAATAACGTGAGACTGTGCTCCATAGTCTGGTACCATTTCCTATCTTATTCTACATGCTGCCAAACTGAGACATTGTCTCTTTATACTTAGTGTTATCATGAATTGTTATATAGAAGTAACTATCGAGACACTCATGTTGGAAAGATTTGAATTAAACTTGCTGGAACTGCAACTACGGTCGAATGCAATTACGCCTTAATTATAATAATGACTCTACTGTAGCTTTATGAAACTGGGCGCTCAAGGTCGATGTGGCGAAAGTGTCATTTATCACTGAACGTGAACAAATGCTTATGATTATAAATTGTGATAAAAAGGGGTTTATGAATAAAACTTGATGCAGCTGATATTTGCCCTCTATTTGAAATTCAATACATATCCAAACGATTTAGCAACATGAAGTGAGTGAGTTAGATTTTACGCCGCTTTTAGCAATATCCCAGTGGGGGACACCAGAAATGAGCTTCACACATTGTACCCATGTGGGAAATCGAACCCGCCCCTTAGCGCGACGAGCGAACGCTTTAACCACTAGGCTACCCGACCGCCCCTTCAGCAAAACCAAGAAAGGAAGGTAGCAAACATGCACAAGGTATCCTTGGCACACTACAACATCGCCTTATAAAAATTTTAATGTATGAAACAAACATGACACAAAAAATGGTTTTATAAGCTCCCAGTACATTTTCATTTTTTAAATACCCTACAGTAAATCACATGTACGGGTGTGTCTACAAAACCATATCGTCCTTGTGGGTAAATATTTCTTGTCTTTTTGGCTTGATAAAAGATTATGTGATGATTCAACTCAATGCTGTATACTTTATAGTGAGTGAGTGAGTTGGGTTTAACGCCGCTTTTAACAGTATTCCAGTTATACCGCGGCGTGTCAGCTTAATGTGGGAGGAAAGCCCGAAGTGATTCAGGTCTTAGACGTTTACCACTTCGGTGAAACCAACGACCACGGGTATGGTGCTGACAAACCTAGAAACATAATCGGGGCGAACCGGGATACAAACCCACAATCATAGGTTTCTGGCGTGCCCAAGGGACGCAACTCTGCACAGCGAATCGCGGCGCCTGAGACGACTGGGCCACCCCTGCCCCCGTATATGTTAGAAGTATGTGTGCACTGTATATGTAATGTTCTTTTAATCCGGAAACAAGGGCCCCACACAAATGATTTACTGTTTAGGGTTATGCCGCTTGTAAAAAGTATTTGTCTCTCTCAAAGTAATGTCGGAGGAAACCGGAATTGATGCAGGTCTTTGCGGTTATCACTTTGGGGACCGCCTCCGTGATCTAGTGGTAGAGCGTTCGCCCGGAGAGCGGAAGGTCCAGGGTTCGATACCCGGCCGCGTCATACCAAAAGACGTTAAAAGATGGTACTTGTTGTGACCCTGTCTGGCGCTCGGCATTAAGGGGCTAAAACAAGGACTGGTCGGCTCGGAGTCAGTATACTGTGTCTGAGTGGGGTATTCATGTTAAACATGGTATCTCGGTGGGCTAGCACTATAAATCGGCATCAGTCCGGACTAGTACAAGCAGCCACATACACACACGTGCATGCACGTCGCTATATAAGTGCAATAATCTTGGACGCGATGTTAAACCCCATTTCACCTCACCAACCACCGAGCATGGGTACAGTGCTAAAGAAAACAAGAATCGGAATCAAGCAGGATCTACAATCAGGGGATTATGGCACGCTTAAAATTAGCAACCATTCACAATGAGCATACCGCTGGGTTACACCTGCTCCACTATGAAATACACCATCATGGTACGATGACATGCAATCACACAAGTTAGCGAGCCCAATCGATCTCTTAGGTGCCTCTCACGACAGTCAGAGGTACGTATTGTTGAATTCTATCCCATGACCCTAATGGGGTTTCTCGAAAACACATTACTAAAGATTGAAGAGATCATATTTTCTTAAGAGCTGGGTGTTAATTTTACAATGCAAACATATCATGACACATATCTGACACTACATTAAAACAATCTTTATTTATACATATGAAAGGCCACAGGCCTGTTGTACAGACGACATGGATAGTGTAACATAAATATTATTAATTACTTCTTAATTAAATGTAATCTTTAATATACAATTTTCTATAATTCATTGCATGAAATACATATCATGTCACCACGCTTTAACACGTTGAACATTTCGGAAGACAAAAGTAACCTTTTAAAAAATGTTGGCTGATACACATATGGTGATAAAAATACTGGACATACAAAGAAAAGATGGTAATCATCTCCGACTTCCTGTTTATTACACAATTTACAAACTTATGTTCCTTTAATATGTGTGTGTCTCTACTCTGAGCATCTTATTCCAGTAAAAGAGGTTTCAAAAGATATTCTTCAGTTTTAAAACTTACATAATATTTACACTTTGGTGTAAAACATATCCATTTATGTTTTAGTGTTCAGGGCATTCTACCTTCTGACATTGCCACATATAGCCAAAACATAGACCATTAATGGTTGTTTTAACAGATGAGACCAAAATAACTCTTCCAGGACTGTCATACAGTAACATAATTCCATAACATTTTCTTGGCTATCTATAAGTAGACATATGTAATTATTTTACCCAAGACATATATAAATAATGGCAATCCACCACATGAACCATACACAACTGCATTTGGTGTATTGATCTTAACTTCCAAACGTATTTTACATGTATGGGGTGTACTCTTTCAATAACGTCTAAGTGGACGGTCGGGTAGCCTAGTGGTTAAAGCGTTCGCTCGTCACGCCGAAGACCCGGGTTCGAGTCCCGACATGGGTACAATGTGTGAAGCCCATTTCTGGTGTCCCCCGCCGTCTATTTCTTCAGGAAACTATCATGGAATTTCCATTCAACCCAAGCTGCCATCATTGATCTTCTTTAGCATTCTAAAAAATCTCAAAAACATTGGGGATGTATTTTTTAAGATCTTCGATACAAAAACATTATCCTATTTAGTTGTATAGGACTGAGACATGGAGTATGACGAGTTAGAGTGAGTGAGGGTGGTTTTACGCCGCTTTTAGCACTATTCCAGCAATATCACGGCGGGCGACACCAGAAATAGGGCTTCACACATTGTACCCATGTCGGGATTCGAACCCGGGTCTTCGGCGTGAGGAGCTAACGCTTTAACCACTAGGCTACCCGACCGCCCCGAGCTTATGATGAAGTTGGGGGGACTTCAGTCCACCAGCAGAAACATCGACCCTGTTCAAGCAAATATAAATTGTCAATGCAACAGAGGGTTCTGGGAAGAACTGTAACAATCTGCTTCTACAAGTATGATACCTTAGATATTTCAGGGCACAGTACCCAAATGCCAGTCCTGAAAAACGACTAACATGGAAATATAAATTGTCAGCGCAAGGAAATAACCATCCTAGATTTTCGGCCAAAACAGATTCCACTTGGCGTAAAGGGCATATAGCTGTGGAAATTATATGAATGGGTCACTGAAAATGAGTGATGACAACAAATGTTCGCGAAAAGTTAAGCATGTCCTGCCCTACCGGTAGCACCCGCCATTCATACTATTTGCAAGAACACAAGGTGAGGTGGTGAAATGGGGTTTAACGTCGCGTCAAAGATTATTGCACTTATATAGCGACGTGCATGTACGCGTGTGTGTTTGTGTGGCTGCTTGTACTAGTCCGGACTGATGCCGATTTATAGTGCTAGCTCACTGAGATACCATGCCGCAGTT